TAATGGGCTTTGACAGCATGTAACAGCAGGCTCTAATTTTCTCTGGGAGGTCAGTAAAGGTTTTGCTGAGGAAATGTCATTTAAGCTGAGCCTTGAAGGGCAAGCAGAGCCTAGTCTAATGAGAAAGAGGAATGGCGAGACTTTTTCAGAAAGAAGGGAACAGGATGTGGAATGGTTCCACCGTGGCCCAGGGCCACAGCATGAATCAGTGGCTGAGCCAGGACTAGCAGAAATCAGATATATGGCTCCAGGCCCTGTGTTCCTTGCATTCAACCCCACTGGGTGTGTTTTTGGCCCTGTATCACAGAGCTCTATGCTCATTCATCTAAAGAGGGAAGTTCATGTCCATGGGGCAGGCACTCTCGGTGGGTAAAGCAGGGAGGGCAAAGACGTGGAGGTGGGAAGGCGGCTGGCATGTGTGGGAGGGAGCAGGTTGGCCCACGACTTGGAGTGAAGCACTCTGACAGAGGAGAGGTGGGAAAGTTGGAAGAGGAATCTAGGCAAGGATGAAAGGATGAGGTCCTTAACCAAGGAGCTGCAGGTTGGGATAGCAGGGGAGGCCAGGTGAGATGTTGAGATCAGCTGTTGTCTCAGCAGTTTGACTCTTTATCTCAGGCTTGTTCTAAAAAGGGTTTATGGTAACTTAGTATCCTACGTATCCTGTGTGTGTTTTTTTAAATACATATGCTAGGATCATAAAACCTCATGCTGTAATAGCCCCTACATGTCTAGATCTGTAGCTTTATTCCTTCCATTTTTTTTTCTTGTCTGCTTTCTAGTAGCACTTATGAGTACCTTACATATGTCTGACGCTACAGTTAAAGACAGAGAGGGCCCCTTTCAATAGCGAATCCAGGACTGCAGGGCACAGAAGGGATGGAAGGTGTCAGTGGGAGACGGGGACTTCTGGCGGAGTGTAAGCCAGAAAGCCTTCCCAAAGCCTTGGGCCACGTGGGTGGAAGAGCAAAACCGAGAAGTGACTCGTACCTGGCTGCATCAAGCCTCCATTCACCTTTTGACAGCAGCTTGGGAGCTCTGTGAAGACAGAGTTCTGGCTTTGCTGAGGAGGATGCAGGTGCTCAGGGATGGACAGATAGACTGATAGACAAGCATTCATACCGCAGCGCTAATAAGAGGATTCTTGAAATAGGAGAGTACCAAGTCTAATGAAGGATTCTGGCATCTCCCACCTCTTGCTAGTTGAGTTTCTGTTTCTCAAGATTCTGTATAGCATTAACTGGTTTGGAGATTATTAACTAGTTTAGAGACTATTGGTTTAGAGCCTGTCCTGTTGGTGAAATTTCACTGTTTGAAGAAGATACATCAGGTTTTAGAAGTAGAATTGAGCCTTTGTTTCTCTAGTGGCTTGAGTTTTGGCTGGGGGTGGGGGCGGTGGGGGGGACTTCTGTCCATGTATAGGGTAGTTTCTGGACATTGTTTTCTAAAGGAAGGTTTGACTGGCCCTGCCCACTCAGGATCTCCTGCCAGGGAGAAGAAATCTCTGCTGGTGGGTGACTGAGTGCCACAGGCGTGACTCTGCCTGGCACACAGAGGGGATGAGATGTAGGAATCATTTACTCTTTTCGTTTACCTGGGGAAGGGCTGTTAAGGTACAGCTCCTGCTCAGGCCTTTTATACCAGGGGTGCCTCATTTCATGTCTGGTTCTAGAGGGTTCCTGCTGGCCCCTTCTTCCGCCATCCCAGTCTTTCTTCCTCTGTGCTTCCATCCATCGTGGCCACAGACCTCAGTGTCTTCTGTATGTTACCTCTCACCCAGCTGCTTTGGCTGGGCCCACAGTCCCGCCTTGCCTGGTTAGGAACCTGTCTTTCTTGTTGGCTTCCTTTTCAAATTGTTAATTCAACATTCTTTTCTCAAATGAACAATCCTTTTGTAAAGCAAGTAATTATCCCACTTCTCCTCAACGACGTTTTGCAATATTTAAAAATAATACTTCGTTTGTTGAATGTGGAGGTATACCTGTTTCATAGGATTCCTTTTTAGTGGCAGGATTGAGGACCAGGATGACACTGGCTTCTGGATAAACTGGTCTGCCTGCTCTCCAGGCTGCGATTGTTCAGTTGGCATCATGGTAGAATCTCTGTAATAAAGAATTGTATTAAAGGAAGTTTGTATTTCTTATAAAGAATCCCATCAAATAATTCACTAAGGATTTTGGAAAGAGAAACCAAATTATTTAAAAAGCAGGGAGAGGGCAAAGGAGAAGGAAAAAGAACGTTTAACGATTCATTTATACTAATGGCCCTTGTGTTATTGTGGCAAAATTACTTCTAAATAAAAGTCAAAGAGGTAAAACCAGCTCTGTTTGGGAGGTGTACTGTCTGTTCTCTGCTTTGTTTTTCTGCTCTGAAGTATAGTGTGCTGTCTTGACGTAGGGATGTAACTGCTATGAATATTGATGGCAGCAAAAGCTTTTTTTTCTCTGTCTGGCCTAGTAAATAAAGCAGCAAGGATAAAAAGGGATGAATTGTAAAATCAGTGTGCTGTTTTTAGCTTCTCTGGTTCCCTTAGAACTCTTAAGTCTCAAACATATTGACAGTCTGCATTTGGTGGTCAGGGTCTGATGTGAGCACAGTGGGTTGGCATTTTCAGGGATTTTTGCCTCTGGTTAAAGTAACAGAGTTCCTTTTTCTTTGAGCTTTCAGAGTTAATGTTATGGCTTCATTGAGGCCTTCCTGTATCTTTCCCTCTATCCAGTGGCAACGCTGGTCTCTGCTCAGAATACCAGTGGCATGAGTGTGCGATCATTCCTCCAACAGCCACGCATGCCTCCCGAGCGAGCACTCCCTTGGGGGATATGGCAGGGAACGGGGCAATGGGGAATCTGGACAGTAAGCAAGGAAGGGCATCCTTGTAGCTCTGAGCGTAGCATCTCATGTAGCTGTATGAAGGGCATGGGGGAAGAAGGCACGGGGGCATGGAATGAGCCTGGCTGAGAACAGGACTGGTCTGAAGGTCTAGAGGGGGCATGAGTATAGTAGGTTGAGATGAGCTAGGCTTTCTAAATTAAATTATAAACACACTGATGCTGGCTAACTCTCAGAACACACACACACACACAATTCGTTCACTAGACTGTTGTAATGGTGTTCTGAGGAGCAAAGGGAGCTCTGGAGGGCAAGTGTTTAGAAATGACAGGAATCACAACAGCCCTGTCCTTGAGAGGAAGCCCTGTTATATGACCAGTGAAGAGTGGAGAATGGGGGCAAAGGCTGGGATGCATGGCCATGGCTGCATTGTCCCCCTGGTGGTCAAGAGGGAGGATACCTGTGGCACGACAAAGGGAAGTTCTGCCTGGCACGGCCGGTGACAGAGGGGCAGCCATTCTGGCAGCAGACAGCCAGAGCCCAGGGGTGACACAGGCGAGGCTCCCATTTAAATGCACAAGGGTGCTGGGGATACTGCAAGCAAACATTTAACAGGTGACAGTTCCTCGAAGGGTCAGACTTATGGGAATCATCCTAAAATTTGTGTTTTTAAAAATGTTTCTGAATAAAAAGTGTTCTCTTCAGAAACGTACAATTTCTTTAAAAATACACATTTGCCTATTGCATAAAAATAAGTCTGTAATAGTGATAACATATAACACAGCAAAGTGCTTTTGTCCCCCCTGGAATCAGTTGTGAAAAGGAGGGGGTGGCCTGATCGGAGGGCTGAAGATCTAGAATCGCTCTCGTCAGTTACTACTTTTGTGACTCTTGAGAAATTCTCTGTGTCTACATTCAAAACTTCCCCCTCCTCACACCTCCCCCACACCAACAGAATAAATGACAGGTACCATGGTGGGGACATTTTTCTGGCTCCTGGTATGGTGCCTGTCATTTAGAAGTGGTGTTCATGTAAGTGTTTCCTGAGCCTAATTTATTTTGACCTCTTGCACTAGGCATTTTAATGAGTGAATTTCATGACCTGCATTTCTCTAAGGTATTGGTAACTTTTCAGGTCCCGCTCATAGTAGTGTAGGACTCTATAGTTCATATTGAAAAGTTACAGTTGCTGATGATACTTTGTTATTTAAATAGCTTCATATGGGGAATGCTTCTTGTAAAGTTAATTGCCCACATCTCTGTGGGTCCACGTTTCTATCGAAACTGAAGCTGCATAAAGAAAACATTTATAAAAGAGGAAAGAGTCAAAGTTTTTAGACTTGCTGATTGATATATTTTCCACAGCTCATGGAGTTGCATGGGTTGGAACTGGAAAGGTTCTAAGAGTCATTTAGCCCATGAGTGGCACCTGTGAGGTCTGTGGCAGTCAGATGGGCATGGCTGCTGGGGCGGATACAAGAGAAAAGGTCAGAGGCTCTGCCTAGGTTTCCTGGGAAAGGGCATGGTGACCTGTCACAAGTTCAGCCAGGAGAGACGGCATGCCAATAAGCAGGCAGGGTGTTTGCCATCCTGAATTCACTTCCCTTATTGTGCAGATGCAGAAACTTATGCCCAGAGGAGGGGAAGGACTTGCTCAGGGTCACCTTGCTACTCAGGGACAAAGCTGACTCTGACTTCGAACTCAGACATAAACCCAAGAAGAAGAGAGGGTCAAAACAGATGCATCTTCATTTCTTCCGGAGGATGAATTTCTTCTGTTCAAAGCCACCATTGGAATCTTTGTTGTGCCCTTGTGCTTTTCTGGGCCTGATTTGGCAACCTCAGGAGGAGAGCATGCTGCGTTTTGCAAATGTGTGCAAATAACAAACATGCCCGTTATGTCCTAAGCAGACTCATCACACACGCATTGGGGCAGGTGGCAAAATGCAGTCATGCAGTCTGGAATGAAAAGTGTTGCACACGTAGTTGCTTATGAGAAATTCAGTGTTAGAATGTAAATGCCTTCCCGGCCCAGGGGCAGTATAATTGTTCCATTTCTCATAATAAAATGCTTATATGTCTAAGTTGTTGATTCTAATCTCTCTTCCTTTTTCTGTCTCCTCTTCCTCCCCTGCCCCTACTTTTTTGGTATGTTTCTTTGTTTTTCTTCGCAGGAAAAAGTAGAATATGCCTTCCTGATTATTTTTACAGTCGAGACATTTTTGAAGATTATAGCGTATGGATTATTGCTACATCCTAATGCTTATGTTAGGAATGGATGGAATTTACTGGATTTTGTTATAGTAATAGTAGGGTAAGTCCCTTTTACTTTGGGGAAATGTTGATTTGGAAAATGGAAAATGGGAGGTGGAGGTTGGGGGGACGGTAACAAAACAGTCTTTTTAGGGAACGTTGTTGCTCTTGTATGCCAGCTGTTGCACCAGAACCTCTCAGAAGTTCTTTTAAGGCTGATGATGCTGCTGTCAATCTCTTGGCAGAGACTAGTTTGAAATTCTCTCGTTGTTACTCCCCTTTTTAGTAACATGTTATAGATGGGAGTGTAAGCTCCTAATGTGTGAGGCTTTACCTAACAGGGTCTTGGATCTCCAGAAATAGACCAATCCTGTTGGTGATTAGAGTCAAGTGAGTAGAGCTTTTAATACTTAGTGCCAATGTTAAGTTAAAAAAAGTAAAAAGTAATAAAACCTTCATAGGCCGGGCGCGGTGGCTCAAGCCTGTAATCCCAGCACTTTGGGAGGCCGAGACGGGCGGATCACGAGGTCAGGAGATCGAGACCAACCTGGCTAACACGGTGAAACCCCGTCTCTACTAAAAATACAAAAAAACTAGCCGGGCGAGGTGGCGGGCGCCTGTAGTCCCAGTCACTTAGGAGGCTGAGGCAGGAGAATGGCGTAAACCCGGGAGGCAGAGGTTGCAGTGAGCTGAGATCCGGCCATTGCACTCCAGCCCGGGCAACAGAGCAAGACTCCGTCTCAAAAAAAAAAAAAAACCTTCATAGCAGTGAGGTACTCTGCTCTTTAACATCCCTTGAGCAAAGCTATTAATTTTCTTTCTTCCTTTTTTTTTTTTTTTTTGCTGACTTGTGGGAGAAACTCTGGCATACTACAATTCCATTTTAAATAACGAAACAAGTGTCTGGATAATGTCATGTATCTGGCATAAAATGAAATAAGCTAGAAAATGCAGAGAAGCAGGTGTTCCACCAAAATCCTGTTGCAGGAAGAAGACATCAGTAGTTTTAGTTAAAGAAGAATGTTGAAATAAAAAATAGTGGCCTGTGTTATTTTAGTCCTTCCACACCTGGAAATGCTGCCAGGAAGAGAAAAATGAATCCACATTACAGGAATGCTGGGTCTTTGGACCAAATACCCATATAGGAAGATAAGATATATCCTTTTTCCCAGTCTTAGTTATGCTAGCTGTAAAGTGAGTTGCTCCTAAAATTATGTTTCTGTAAAGAGAGGTTTTTAAATAGCCTCTCTGTTTTCATCTTCATGACTTCAGTGAACTGCCTTTTGCAGTTGAGCAAGGTGATTTTTCTTGTGGATTATCCTTTTATCATGAATCTTTTGCCTTTTCATTGGAGACGAATTCTGCTGGGTATTGGGAGAGTGGAATTGGTTGTGGGCCTTCCTAGGTCCTTTCAACCTAGGAAGTTAATATGAGATCCTGATTGCCCCGTGGGACAGTTAGACTTGTGGGAAACAAGTTAGCTTTTGCAAAACCCCCACAGCACATTGGCATTTAAGGCATCATTGCAAAAGAAGTGCACCAAAATGAACAGGTGGCAGATATGTGCCATACTTTCCTGTATTTGGTGGACTCTGTCAAGGAATGGCAGGCGGGAGCCTTGCAGGTATGTTGGTTCTGGGATAATCTGGCTGTGCCTCTTCTGCCACTGGAGTTTTCATTCAGCTGGGAATGGAGATGCTTAGCCCCATTTCTTTCATCACCATGCTATGATCACCTCAGATTTCTGCCTGGAGACATTTTTTACACTACAGCACAGCACAAGGATAGGGAACCAAGTGGAGCATGGTGGTCTTATTGAGTTAAGGAGACAGAGACGAGAGTTTGGGGAGGCAGAATATGGGAAGGGCGGGAGCTATTTAGAGAAAGAGCTTCATAAATATGCCTTAGAGTCCTCTTCAGTTTTGGCTGAGGGCTAAGCTACACCTACACGGAGTTATGAGTCCATGAGGCCAGGAAAGACCACTACTAGGGAAAAGAGAAAGATCAGGGAGCTGTAAAATGAATAATAACCAGGGCTCACAAAGGACTGGAAGGCATTCAAATTCTGACTAATTAGGGTGGAAAGACCTCATTGAACACCCTGGACAGTCAGTAGAGACCCCACAGGGCCATTAGTAGTAGTGCTAAACTGGTTCTAGAGCAGGTGCTGGCAAACTGTGGTCAATGGGCCAACTCCTAGCCCATCTAGCCTGCCACCTATTTTTATAAATAAAGTTTTATTGTAACATGGGCATGCTCATTTGTTTACATAGTTCAGTTTGAGTAGTTTAGGTCCACAAAACCTAAGATATTTAAATATTTACTATCTGGCCCTTTACAGAAAAAGTTTGCCAATCGCTACTCTAGAGTACAGAGACTACCTGAAACCCTTGCTTACAATGTTTGAAAAGAAGTCTGAAAAGAAGCAAACTAGGCCAGGCATGGTGGCTCATGCCTGTAATCCCAGCACCTTGGGAGGCCGAGGTGGGTGGATCACCTGAGGTCAGGAGTTCAAGACCAGCCGTGACCAGCATGGTGAAACCCCATCTCTACTAAAAATGCAAAAATTATCTGGGTGTGGTGGTGCGTGCCTGTAATCCCAGCTACATGGGAGGCTGAGGCAGGAGAATTGCCTAAACCTGGGAGGCAGAGGTTGCAGTGAGCCAAAATCGTGCCACTGCACTCCAACCTGGGTGACAGAGTGAGACTCTGTTTCAGAAAAAAAGAAAAGGAAACTGATACACTAACTGAACTGCCTGCCAGAAGACAACTCAACATTGTTTAAAGGAAGACAACAAAATCCAGACACGGAACGTATGAAGGAATGTAACCCATAACCAGGAGGAAACTCCATCAGTAGAAACAGATCCTGAAATGACAGAGGTGATGGAATTAGAGAAGGACTTCACAAAACTGTAAAAACTACTATTATACATATATTTATGGACTTAAAGGGATACATGATTATAGTAAGGAAAGATGAGACAATATTTTAAAAATGGAACTTTAAGAGATGAAAAATATATCCAAAATGAAAAATTCTCTGGATGAGCTTAACCTCAGCTTAGACACTAGAGAAGGAAAAAATATCAGGGAATTTGAACATATAGCAATAACATGAAGAATAATGATTGAGGAGAAAATGAATACCACCTCGGTGACCTGTGGGGGAATATCAAGTGGTCTAACATGTGTATATTTGGGGTCTCAGAAGGAGAGGAGAGAAAGAAGAGACAGAAAAAAATATTTGAAGAAACGTCTCCAGAGTTTCCAAATGTGATGAAAAACTAAACTCACAAGAAGCTCAGCAAACCCTGAGCAAAATAAACACGAAGAAAGCTACACCAAGGCACATCATAATTGTAATCAAATTGTTAAAAACCAAAGATAAGGAGAAAACCTTAAAACAGAGAAAAAAGTCTCAGACTAATTTGTCAACAGCTCTGCAAGCCAAGACAATAGAGAGGCATCTTTAAAGTACTGGGGGAAAATGTCAACCTAGGATTCTCACCAGTAAAATGTCTTTCAGAGTTAAAGTCAAAATAAAAACTTTTTCAGACATGCCGGAGTTTCAGAATTAATGACTAATAGGCCTGTACCTCAATCAGTGTTAAAGACAGTTCCTCAGGGCCGAAGGAAAATGACACGAGGTAGAAAAGTGGATCTACACAGAAAGAATGAAGAGTGCCAGAAAGGGTAAATACGTGGGTACATATACAGACATTTTTCCCCTCATTAAAAAATTTCTTTAAAGGTAATTATTTAAAGCAAAAATAATAACAATGTATTGTGGTGCCTATATCTTCTACAGAAATAAAGTACATGACAATGGTAGCATGAAGGACAGGAACAGGGAAATAGCCATATGGTCTTGTCATATACTTATACGGTAGTTGGAATGATTAAATATTATCTGAAGATAGACTGTAATACCTTCAAGATGTATATTGTAAACCCTAGAATATGGACTGGCAAACTACAACCTGTAGACCAAATCTAGTTTGAGCCTTTTTTCCCCCACCATTGACAAAGTATTTTATTGACTGCCTGCTTTGGCAAAAAAGTTTCATTGTAATTCAGCCACATTCAGTCATGTCTATGGCTATTTGGTGTTATAATGGCAAAGTTGGGTAGTTGTGACAAACCCTATGGCCTGCAGATTCTAAAATATTTACTATGTGGCACTTTATAGAAAATATTTATTGACACTTGCCTTAGAGAAGCCACTAAAAAAAAAAAAAAAAATCCCGGGTATATCTAAGAAGCCTATAGTAGAGATTAAATGGAATTTTTTAAAACCCTCAATCCAAAACAGGCAGGGAAGAAGAAAAAAGGAACAAAGGACAGGACAAATAGAAAACAAATGGCAAGTTGCTAGATTTAAACCTAGGTAAACCTAGATTTAAACCTTATTAAAATCATTATCACAAAGAAAGGATAACGGCCTTTGTGTCCATGTGCTCTCATCATTTAGCTCCCACTTGTAAGTGAGAACATGTGGTATTTGTTTTTTTGTTCCAGTATTAGTTTGCTAAGGATAATGGCTTCCAGCTCCATCCATGTGCCCACAAAAGAAATGATCTTGTTCTTTTTTATGACTGCATAGTATTCCTTGGTGTAGTTGTTCACATTTTCCTTGTCCAGTCTGTATTGATGGGCATGTAGGTTGATTCCATGTCTTTGCTATTGTGAATAGTGCCACAGCGAACATTCACATGCATGTGCCTTTATGGTAGAATGGTTTATTTTTCTCTGGGTGTATACCAAGTAATGGGATTTCTGGGTCAAATGGTAGTTCTGTTGTTAGCTCTTTGAGGAATTGCCACGCTGCTTTCCACAATGGTTGAACTAATTTACACTCCCACCAACAGTGTATAAGCATTCCTTTTCCTCTGCAACCTCGCCAGCATCTGTTATCTTCTGACTTTTTAAGAGTAGCCATTTTAACTGGTGTGAAATGGTATCTCATTGTGGTTTTGATTTGCACTTATCTGACGATCAGTAATACGGAACTTTTTTTCATATGCTTCTTGACCACATGTATGTCTTTTGAATAGTATCTCTTTGTGTCCTTTGCTGACTTTTTAATGGGAGTTTCCTTTTTTCTTGTGAAGTTGTTTGAGTTCCTTATAGATGTTGGGATATCAGACCTTTGTCAGATGCATAATTTGCCAATTTTTTTTTCTCATTCTGTAGGTTGTCTCTTTACCCTGTTTCTTTTGTTGTGCAGCAGCTCTTAAGTTTAATTAGGCCCCATATGTCAGGTTTTGCTTTTGTTGTGATTGCTTTTGGCATCTTCGTCATGAAATCCTTGCCCATTCCTATGTCCAGAATAGTATTGCCTAGGTTGTCTTCCAGGGTTTTTTATAGTTTTGGGTTTTACATTTAAGTCTTTAATCCATCCAAGTTGATTTTTGTATATATAAGAAAGAGGTACAGTTTCAATCTTGTGCATATGGCTTGCCAGTTATCCCAGCATGTTTTATTGAATGGGGAGTCCTTTCCCCATTGCTTTTTTTTCATCCCCTTTGTCGAAGATCACATGGTTGTAGGTGTGGGACCTTATTTCTGGGCTCTCTACTATGTTCTGCTGGTCTGTGTGTCTGTGTTTGTGTGAGCACCATGTTGTTCTGGTTACTGTAGCCCTGTAGTATAATTTGAAGTTGGGTAATGTGACCCTTCTAACTTTGTTGTTTTGTTTAGGATTGCCTTGGCCATCCAGGCTCCTTTTTTGTTCCATATGAATTAAAAAAAATTTTTTTTTCTAGTTATGTGAATAATGTCATTGGTAGTTTGATAGGAATAGCATTGAATCTGTAAGTTGTTTTGGGCTAATTAACTGATACTGAGTCTTCCTATTTGTGAACATGGTATGTTTTTCCATTTGTTTGTGTCATCTCTGATTTCTTTGAGCAGTGTAAAACCATGACATTTCTCATAGAAAATATTGGAAAAAATCTTTATGACCTCAATGTAGGCAGAGATTTCTCAGGATACAAAAAGCTCCAGTCATGAAAGAGTAATTGAAAATATTGACTTTATCAAAATTTAAAACTTTTCTTCAAAAGACAGTGTGAAGACAATGAAAAAGCAAGGCACAGATTGGGAAAATATTCACAATACATACATCTGACAAAACACTTGTATTCAGAATATATAAAGAACTCTTACAACCCAATAGTAAGAAGACAACCCAATAAGCAAGTAGGTAAAAGATTTGAACAGATCTTCACAAAAGAAGATACGTGGATCGTCTGAAAAGATGCTCAACATTGTTAGTAATTAGAGAAATGCAAATTAAAACTACAGTGACAGTACTGCATACCCACTAGTATTACTAAATGTAAAAAGACTGAAAATACCAAGTCTTAACCAAAATATGGAACAACTGGAACTCTCATACACCACTTGTAGAAATGGAAAATGGTATAATTACTTTGGAAAAAATGCGCCCGTTTCTTACAGTGTTAAACATAGACTTACCATATGACCATATTACCAGTTCTACTCTTAGGTATTTATCCAAGAAAAATGAAAACACATGTCCACAAAAAAACTTTATTCATAATAGAGAAAAACTGGAAACAACCCATATATCCCTCAACGGGTGAATGGATAAACTCATTGTGGTGTATTTATATAGTGGGATATTACAGAACAACGAAAAGAAATGAACTGCTGATAAAATAACGCAGATGAGTGTCAAAAACATTATGTTGAGCAAAAGAAGATGAACCAGGAGAACATACTATGTGATTCCATTATATGGGTTCTAGAAAAAAAAACTCTAGCAATAAACGGCCAATCACTGGATACTCAAGGCTGAGCTTCGAGGGAAGCTCTGCACGAGGCTGTGCAGGGCGCACAAGAGAATCATTTGAAATGTTGAAATCTTCTCTGTCTTGATCATGGTGTTTGTTACTTAGGCTCATGCATTTTTCAAAACTCATCATATACTTTAAATGAGTGTGTTTTATTATAGATAAATTAAACTGCAATATAAAGTGATTTAAAAAGCAAAAAAAAAAATTTAGGAAACTGAAGCAGAACTGGACTCTTAGAAAAACTTCAGAACATCAGATTATTTTTTATCTAAAATATGCACGAAACTGGAGTCAAAGAGCGGAAGAAAGGTTTTAAAAAAGAAAAAGAAGAATTATGATGTCTTCATTTGAATCAAATTCCTACTCACTAAAGTTTCCAACTGCAGTCTGTATCTCAATCCAATGGATTTTCCATTCCAAGTCAACAGTGACCTATTGCTTTTGTCAAGATTCCCAATAACCAAGACGTTAAGAAAGTAATTGATATTTCTAAAATGTTAACTGTTAATATGACCACAAGAGGACTCAGTGTGTCTGCCAGAGCTGAAGTTATTCCTTTAGAGAAAAGTTTGATCTAAGCCAGCTTTTGTCCCATGCCTCTAAATTTTCAGTAAAGAGATATTTCAAGCATTCAGGCTCTGTTGCTTAAGCTTTTTTAAGAACATGACTCCTCATTCTGGTGCTTCTGACTTTAGTCAGTTCAGACAGCTTCTTGTCTTTTTTCTCCCACCTTGGGGTAAACTTTTAGTAACAATCTAGAGTCAGTTACTCCTTTCTCATCCTGTCCTTATCTCTTCAGGCCCATGGTACTTTTTTTGAGAGGCGTGGTGGTGAGGAACAGAATCACGGAATAGTAGAGTGGAAACGTCATTCTCTGAGTCGTTAAGTCCAGTTTTGTCATTTTACAGAGAGGAGAACTGAGGCCCAGAGGAGGAGAGGGACTTCCCTAATATCTCATAACTCTTAGGAATGGAAACCAGCCCCGGCCCCTTGCAGCCCTGCACTGCCTGGGAACACAGCCTGCTTCTCTCTCTGACTTGGGCTCTTTGGTAATAAGAGAGAGACATTTTTCATGTGTTTTCAAGGACATTGCTGAAGAACAAGGAATAAAGGGACCGTGAAGTAGATGTTGCAAAACACGGATACTTGAAAGCAGTCTTCAGTCACTACCTGCATAAATTACTTTGCTAACCCTTTGGGATGAAAATTCCTGTGGCTTGCACATTGCAGAAGAGTTTGAGGTTTTCTTTCTTTCTTTTTCTTTGTTTTTTCTGAAGCTATGAATTTGTTTTGGAGGAGAGACTTTTCACTTTAGCCTTGCTGCAGGGATTTACAGTAATTTTTTAAAAACTATGCTGAAGAGAGAGAAGCCTGTCATAAATCTGATCTGTTTCCTCAGTCATAACTAGGGAGAGCTCACCATCTGAAGCTTTGTAGAGGTGGAGACCGGGTTTGTTGCTAATTGATATACTGTTACTAAAACAAAGGACTGATCTGTCAATGCCTCGGAACTACACAACTATACCCAGTCAGGGCTGCAATCAGACCACCCTGTTTTATGGACTTAGTGTCTTGGCAGTCCAGAGACATGCCAGTGGGGGCAGTTTCTGCTTTGTCTGCTCATTAAACTCTGGAGACCTTTTCTTTGTTGCTGGGCCAGTCATTCCCACAATCTGATTGGCCAGAGTTGATGCTGTTTGAAATGGGCAAATTTTATACTTACTCTGAAAAACGAGCAATAATTCCAAAGAATATTTATTTAAAAGAGCAAAAGTAACTGTTAAATGAGCAGATTGCCTGAAAAGAGCTTTATCCGAACCTTCTAAGACTAGGACAAAATTTATTGTGGCTGCCAGGTACAATATTATTCACATTTCAAAAGAGAGAATGATGATATTAATACCTTACCTTAGATAACTGCCTTTAGCCTTTGCACAGCTCCTTAGTATCTGTGATTTACATCATCCAAATATCCCTATGAAGGTGAAGGTCGGGGTGTGTGTGTTAGTGACTACATTGACTACGTATGACCTATTAAGATGTGAGACTTTGAAGTCGTGCATTGATTGATTCATCAGATATTTTTGGAGTACTTCCTTTGTGTCAGATACTGTAATAGGCTCTAGACTAGAATAGACCACATACACAAATGAGCAGAGCAGACTAAAACTCCCTGCTGTTACAGAACCTACGTTCTAGAGGGGTCCACAGGCCTGCCTTTACATGTGTTGCTGCTGGTTATGTGACCTTGGACAAGCTACTTATTCCTATCGAGTTTGTTTTCTCATGTGTAACATGGTGTTCTTAATTCCTACTGTGTAACATTTTGTGAGAATTAATGCGACAATGTATGTGCAGTGCTCATGAATGGTAGCCACCAATACGACTGTGGTCATTTCAGTTTGCAGCAGTTTCATTTGTCATCATTGGGTTCCCAGGGAGTCCCCTCTTCTTTGGGAACAGACTTGCTCTCTGCTGCTCCATTGCGATAAAAACAGATGAGGTTAATCCCTGTCCCAGTCATTCTGGAGTTGGAGTCATCTGTATTCCAATTCCACAGCCCAGTTCTCGTCTTTGTCTTCCTTTGATTTAAGCAGCAGCCATTCAGAATTAGCCCTTGTTCAGAAATAACTACGGTTATCATCCTGTTTCGCTTCCCTGGGGTGACAGACTCTAACATTTCTTTCTCTTTCTCTTCTTTCAGATTGTTTAGTGTAATTTTGGAACAATTAACCAAAGAAACAGAAGGCGGGAACCACTCTAGCGGCAAATCTGGAGGCTTTGATGTCAAAGCCCTCCGTGCCTTTCGAGTGTTGCGACCACTTCGACTAGTGTCAGGAGTGCCCAGTAAGCACTTATTGTTTCCTAGAGTCAGGAGGGTGCTGGTTTTTCCTTCCAGGTGGGTCTCAGAATCATTGACTGGTGCTTCGAGGTGAGTTGCTCTGTGCCAGCCAGGGGTCAGCGGACGACTGTGGCCTCCTTCACAGTTGACAGGACACTCTGTCTTGCACTGTCACGTTGGATCCCTCTGACAGCCCTGAGAGGGGGACAGGTGGCGGTTATTGTCATTGTGATTTTGTGGACGAGAGAATCTTCTCTTGCAGAAAGACAAGGCATTGGGGTGAGACCTTGGGTTCAGGCCTTTAATTCCGGTCTATTTTTCCTCTCTGGCAACATGCTGCCACCCACTCCTCCACTCCCAGGCTTGCCCCTCTGAAAGTAGTGTGTTTGTGGATGAGGGTGTTGGAGGACTCAGCTGCCTGCCTTTTTTTTTTTTTCCCCAAGTGGGGAGCACCAGAGGGATGGACTCCTGGAAACTCTGATTAGCTCCTCTACTCTCAGGAACTGTGCTAGCCAGCTCTGGGGGAAGGGATGAGTGCTTCAGCTGTCTCACCTGGATACAGGGCACAGGAGCACGTGCCTTGAAGGCTGTTGTGAGAACAGAATGAGATAATGGAGGGAGAGCCCCTAACGGATGTCTGGAGCACAGAGGCTCTCAGTGAGAGAGAGAGTTTTAGCCACTAGGCCCTACCATACCACTCAGTGCCAGGCCCCAGTGTGCTTCTGGCTCCAGGCCTCCAGGCCAGGTTAAATCATACCTGAGTTGGAACAGATGCCCTGTCTGTGCCCTGGCCAACAGCTGCAGCCTCTTATCCTTCCATAAGGTGTTTGGGGTTGCCTCACTGGGCTCTGCCCCTGACAGTACTCCTGTGTTGGGCACTTCCATGGGTAGAAGTCCTAACACCTTTCTGAGGGCTGGTGCCTCTGAGCAGGAATACAGGATTGCAGGGTGTGCCTGTTTTTCACAACTCATAAAGCCATCAGAAGAACACAGATCACATTTTTTGCCTCTCCAGAAGTTCTTCATGAAGTTTTTATTTGTTGGCACTTAGAATGCACCAAAAATCCTCTGGAAAAAAAAAATTTCCAAATTTAACATTTTAAAATGTAGGAAGTAGTGTTTTATGTGTACTTGTTTTTCCAGATGGTTCATTTATTTTCATTGAAAAAGATCAGCACAAGTCAAAACCACAGAACTGTGTGGAATCAATTGAGAAAAACAGAAATACCTTGGAAATGACTGACTCTGTTAAGTGTAACACGATTAAATGAGAAGTTCAGTGAGCAAACATGTTCTTCCAGATTTAGTTGTTATAGCTTAATCTAATTTCAAAGTAACCACGACAGCTTTTTCCCCCAAAGAGCAAATAACAGGACAGCCTGTCTATGGTATGTGTTGCATGCAGACTTTGTGGGCCACGGCTGTGCGCGTGTGTGCGTGCGAGCCTCTAGCCAGTGAAAAATCCAAGAACTCACATAGCGTTGTGTTTGCTTCCTTGGCTAATGAGATTTTTACTAATCAACTAGTGCAGTGCTCCTAGATATTCCTGAGAATTCGTTTTAAACTGTATTTCTTCCTTTCGCCAACAGACATCACTGTTTGAAATTTGATAGGGAGATTTGTATTTAACTCTCCCGCAGGTCAGCGGGGAAAAGTGTGAGTCTGAGTCTTGTATGAGGACTTTTGAGCTTATATTTTTAACCATCTAGGTAGGGAACATCCCAGTCTCTCATCAAACTCAAACAGGCTTTTGAAGGAAGGGATCAGAGGTTGTCGGATGTGCTGTTTCTAATGCTGGTTGGCAGCCGTGGCCTGCTGATTACTTCTCTAGTACCCGAAGTTGTTAAAAATGTCTAGGAATGTTTGACTGTTTACACTTATCTTGGAATTGTTTAGTCCCTGCGAAAGAGAATCCAGACTGTTCTGTAAGACATAATTTTGTGTGCATGTGTGTATGGAAATATATATTCATTCAGTGAAACATAAATTTATTCCACAAGGTGGTGAATCAGGCATTTGTGGAGTTCTTAACCACCCACATTAAGAGACTGAAGGAGAATGGGCGGGAACCCAGAGCCTGCCCTGGAGACCAGGCCTCCTGACCCCTGTGTTGACGTCCCCCATTCTCTCCACGGCCCGGTAACCTCAGCACCACTTTGCTGCTTGCTGTTTAACTTCTTCCCTTCTCTTTCCCTGTCCTTCTGTGTTGGACAGGGAAACATTTATCAAAGTTCAAGACTATCAAAGTGGAAAAGAATCCTAAAGATCCTCTGGTCTACCTGCATCTTTTAGACAAGGAAACTGAGGTCTGTTGGAGGTCGTGACTTGTGTAAGTTCTCACAGCTAGTGAGTAGCCAGACAGAACCAGACTCACGATCTCCACATTCCTGACCCGGTGTTCTTCCCACTCCTGCCTCCTTCACTAGAGTCCCTTGAGATCCACTGAGATCTACCATACATGTTGAGTATGTACAAAGGAGCTGGATGCAATAAAGTATACATGTTCACAGTCGGATACAACTTTATCATCTCCTAAAATGTGACCAATCTGAAATACAGTACTTACTCTAAATGTAAAAAATATTCGCAAAGCTTACTGCCATGGAATTTAGAAGAGCTAACTGCTGGGGGTTGATTTTGCATGGCCTACTGGTGTCTCAAGAAAACCAAAACAACAATAGAAACCTGGCCATGGGGATTGGAACGGGTGTTGTCTTTTTCCTTCCATGTGTTCCCTGTAGGAGGAAAAACATATTGAAAATCATCCTAATCGATCATTTTTGAAAAAACCATGTGGACATTTCCATATCCAAAGGTGTAGCACCCAGGGTTTTAGTTGTAATAGAGGTTGTAGCAAGTCAGGGTCGCGCTGAGTCTGAAATCCTCTTACTGCTTTTCCCTCACCATCCTGTCCTCTGCCGCCTCCTGTGCTGCTTATCACGGTAAAGGTTTGTCATTATTGCTAAGTCTTCTCTTTGCTTGCTGTATTCTGGTTTCTGATGTAAGCATCTCAGCTTCTTGCATTCTTTTTTTCCTGAATATGTATTGGGAAAGTGAGATGATAGCAGAAGAGGGAACGTTTGAAGGTATAGAGACAACAGGGAAGGACAGGGAAGGAGAAGGTAAGAAGGAAAAGAGGGAGCAGCATAGTCGTGCTGAGGTCACGGGGCCATGGAGAAGATGGGGGACACCAATGCAGGGTCAGGAGGCCTGGTCTCCAGGGCAGGTTCTGGGTTCCTGCCCGTTCTCCCTCATTCTCTTGGTCCCGCAGACCCAATCCTAATCCTGAGTGCTGCCCCCATCCTTCTTTTCATGACCTCTTTTTCTCTCGCTTGATGGGTAGCCTTACCCACACTGTGGCACTGAGTATAACTCCAGGGGTAGCTTGTATTAGGTTGGTGTGAAAGTAATTGTGGTTTTTGCCATTGAAAGTAATGTCTCTGAGTCTGAGGATTTCAGACTCAGCAAGACCCTACCTTGCTAAGACCTCCATGGCAGCAAAAGTTTTAAAGGTAGGAAATAATCGGGTTTTTTTCCTCTCTCTCTCTTTTTTTTTCTCCTTTTTTTTTTTTTTTTTTTTTTTTGGAGACGAAGTCTTGCTCTGTCCCCTAGACTGGAGTTGCAACCTCCGCCTCCCAGGTTCAAGTGATTCTCCGACCTCAACCTCCCGAGTAGCTGGGATTACAGGCGCACACCACCACACCCAACTAATTTTTGTATTTTTGGTAGAGATGGGGTTTCATCACGTTGGCCAGGCTTGTCTCGAACTCCTGACCTCAAGTGATCCACCCACCTTGGCCTCCCAAATTGCTGGGATTGCAGGCGTGAGCCACCTCATAAGGCCAGAAATCATCATTTCTCAAGTGCCTGTCTCTCAAGACCACATTTCAGCTTCAGGACACGTCTACCTTAATGTTATGTAATACCAACATCAAACTTAACAGGGCTCAAATCACTCTCAACCCTCCCCCTGCCCCTCCCACCTCCCTCATTCCTGGAGAATCTCCCTTTGAAATGCGTAGTTTTGTTGGGGGCACTGCGATTTTGCCTCAAGACCCTGGCTCAAATAACTGGTGTGCTCCATAGGTACCTTCCTCTCATTCTGACTCAGTTGCTGAGTTCTGGTCTCATCCTGATCTTCACCCTTGCTACTCCAGCACTCTTGAACTACCTCTCTGTGTGTCTGGCCTGCTGGTGTCCTGTTGGTCTTTCTAAAGCCACTGCCTTTTACCAATGGTCTAGTCTGGCTCCATAACCCGGATTCGAAACCCACAACCCTGGCTGCAATCTACTTCTCTTTCCTGATTTTCTTTTCCACTGTATAACCACCAATCAAGCCCATGCTGTGCTACTCTCCTCTGTGCTTTTGGTACTCTGTTCTTCTTCCCTGAAGTCGCCTCTCTCCCATGCCCACCTGTGGAAATCCACCCCACCTGGCCTTTGGGCTGTGCCCAGAGGGAAGCTGCCTCAGGGCCCTTTCTTCACCTTGTTCATCCCTATTTGTTACCTGCATGGACCTTGGGGATCTGAACAAAGGATGATGAACGTGGGAATAAAGACAAAGACAAAGACAAAAGCATATATTTGGAAGAAAGGGTCACGGGGCTCCTTGCTTCTAGTGAACAAGAGCCCTGAGCTTTAAAGCCTTTCGCATTTTATTGGGTAAAGGAGATAGGGAGAGCGGGGAGTGGTTGTCGGTTGTCGGTAAGCTGCTTGACTTACAGCAGGCTTACAAGACTGCATTCTTCTGACAATAGGCTCTAGATATCCCAGTAGATAACCTCAATGAGCACAGCACCAGGGAGTGATTGCCCTCAGCAAACCTGGTTGTAGGTGCAGTTGTGAGTTTGCCTGCATCCTGCGTTCATGGTGGCATTCATGATAAACAGTTTGCTGTTTGATCCTATAGCCTCCAGTGGAATGCTGAGTTGGTCACAATCCCTTTGGCCTTCTCAGCTCCCAACACCTATTAATTTTAACTGTTGGATATTCATATAGCATCTGTGTGCTACCCCAGGGTAGAGTTATTTGTGTTTAATTCTGTGTCTCTTAGAATATAATTTTTTGAGGGAAGACATTTTACATAAACCATCTTCATATTGCTCCAAAGCACCAAACGTTATGATTTCCACATGGTAGATGTTTAAGAGATTTTGTCAGATGGATGAAGAAATGCATAAATGAATGATGAACTTCGACAGTGGACAGTCCCCTCCCTAGGCCTTAGTTTTTCCCTCTGTCTAGTGAGGGAGTTGGACTAGATGATCTTGAAGGTTCCTTTTCAGTCTGTCTCATATCCAGGCTTAATATTAATGAAAAGCTTTGAAATACCTCTTTGAATTGTATTACTATGTGTTCTAAATAAAGGAGGCATGAGTAGGAATTATATATATGAGTCATTGGAGTACCTTCCTGGCTCACAAACTTATTTTTTTTTTTTGTCTTTCCTAGGTTTACAAGTTGTCCTGAACTCCATTATAAAAGCCATGGTTCCCCTCCTTCACATAGCCCTTTTGGTATTATTTGTAATCATAATCTATGCTATTATAGGATTGGAACTTTTTATTGGAAAAATGCACAAAACATGTTTTTTTGCTGACTCAGGTGAGTAATGGGAATTATAGCTAACTTAATTTAAAAAATTTTTGGTTTTCCCCAAAGCAACTTTCATAGTTTGGGGAAAATCTAAAACAAAATAGGAAAAAAAATGCCCAATATACCAGCACATTTACCGAGCCAGTTCTCAGTATGAACTGTGTTCAGAATAGATGAGAATTCAGTCTCCCTTTCCACCCCGATTTCCTGTGTAATGTGTCCTGGCAAACAAGATGAGAGACCTCCAAAGTAAAAACATGAGGCAAACCAACAGCATTGTGCTGTCTAAGCCTGAGGAGGGTGCTGTAAGCGCAGGTGCAGAGGAAAAGAGCCATGGATTCTGACAAGAGGAAATGGCAGATTCCACTAAGGAGGGAGCATCTGAAGGCAACCTTGAAGGACGAACAGAATCCTGAGGCATCACAGAGGGGGTGGTAGGGTGTCCCAGGCTCTGGCGAGGATGCTCACCTTCCCTGGCTTGGATTTCCTGATGTTTCTGTCCTGAGTGGTGCAGCCTGTTTGCTGTGTTTGCAGATATCGTAGCTGAAGAGGACCCAGCTCCATGTGCGTTCTCAGGGAATGGACGCCAGTGTACTGCCAATGGCACGGAATGTAGGAGTGGCTGGGTCGGCCCGAATGGAGGCATCACCAACTTTGATAACTTTGCCTTTGCTATGCTCACTGTGTTTCAGTGCATCACCATGGAGGGCTGGACAGATGTGCTCTACTGGGTAAGTACGCTGGGGAGAGAGTTTGTGGAGGGTTCTTTCCTTGGATAAGTGAGTTTTATGAGCTAGAGCCACTGGAGAGGTGGCTGGAAGAGAAACCCTGAAGTCAGTTATTTGGGAAGGGAAGCAGATGCTGTCTTTACCAGCAGCCTTCATCATCCTGCTCCTCGAGGGCCTCAGTTTCAGTTGCAGGTTCTGGCTTTAGTCTTCCACTCCCCAGTGCTGCCTGAAGACCTGGTGCCAAGGGTGCCCAGTGGTCCCCTTTGGAGGAACTCCAGGAAGCCAGGGCTATCCTGATTCAACTCTTAAGAGAGCCAAAGGGTCACTTTCCAGGTAAGGAGGCTCCTGGACTGCCACAGGCTAAACTTAATCGTTTATACATCAAGGCAGGTTGTTCTACTAGATCCTAAAGGGAAGAAAGGGAATGTAAATCGGATCCCTTTAGTGCTTTCCGTAACTCAGTATAACCTTAAACCCAATGTGAGTGTCTCCCTTGATAATATTTCCTGTTCTTGTCTTTAGTATTACCATAAATTGGGCCAGCACAAACCCTTAGCTGTCTTCTTTTCTATTTGAAGCTCCAGAGCTCTGGCAGAAAGGGTAGGAATGGCATGTAGACTTCCAGGGCTGGTGGACCCATCCAGCCTGCCATGAGAACAGCTGGACGCTCTTTCAAGGCGAGGGTCTGATGCCTCTTGTTCCCGATAGAGCCAGAAAGATTTGCTACATAAAAATAAGTGCTATAGTATTTTAACAGCCATTTCCCAGGGCTGAGTTTGTTTGTTAGGATGTAAATAAAGCTCACAGAAGTTTCAAAATTGTTTTCCACGGTATAAGAGTTGCTGGTAAAGACAGCTAACATGTAGATTTTGAGCCTAAATCCAAGTCCAAAGGGAAGTAACCAGGATTCTAGTCATGAGTTGTTAAAAGGAAATTAGTAATAAAGTACTTCTGAAGTCAGCAGCTTTTAGACAGAAGGCCTGTAAATTGAGAAGTAGCTTCTGATAGTTTCTAAATTTTAGATACTTTTTAGGATTTGCTGTTCCTCCATAACTTCAGAGACTGTAACAGATAATGGTTATAAATAGGTTTTTGCTTCCCTTCGCCAGCTCACAGGATTGTAGATGTCCCCATATATTTAATATTAGGCAAAGAAGGTATATTTTTACCTTTAGTCCCTGAAGTGAGTCTAGTTTGATGAGGTTTAAGCATCACCAACATGTTATATCTTGTTTTTCCTACTTCCCTTTCTTTTTCTGATTGTCATAGGAGTGTGAGAGAGAGAGAGAGAGTGTGTGTGTGTGTGTGTGTGTGTGTGTGTGTGTGTGTGTCTGTGTCTGTGTGTATGTGGGGGAGGAGGGTATGCACATCTGTTATTTATATTCGTAAAACAATGTCTTTTCATGAAGAGGAAGGAGGAGGGGGATGGTATTGGCTGAGCCAGGGACATGGCTCCCGTATGCAAGAGGGCCCTCGGGTTAGGTGAAGCATTCATTTTTGCTATTATTTCCTAAATTGCAACTTCTGGTCAGATTAGTTGAGATCTCAATTCCAGTCTTCCCTTGAAGTTTCTCATAAATAGAAAAAGCATCATCACAATAGCCCAAAGTCTGATATTTCCCCTCCCCAGACAGTACAGAAGACAACATTTTGATTTTAAAAAAATCAAAATCTGTGACTCCTCTCAGCTTTGTTTTTCTCTCTATTGACATGGTAAATTGTCAACTGTGGATCCAACATACCTTGACTAATGAACAATTTTATACTTTGTTATATTCCCGCACATCGATTCTCACAATTTTCCTGTTGCCAAGCAAGTGTAAAACCTGGGAGTAGATGATTAAAGGAGAGGGAACTTCAGGCTCCTGGAAACAAAAGTTTCCACTTGCTTTCCTGAGAAGGTTTAAATATCATCTAGGATGATATAATTACTATTTTTATTATTAATATGACAATCACATGGTTAATAATTTGACAGTATAATTGCATTCTCCATGAATTACACAGCATCTTTATTCTGGTGGAAGATCTCAAGTCATTTATAAACTTTATCCCAGTCTATATCCCTTTATAGAAGATCTGGGATCTTGAAGATGGAGACAGTGGAGTAGAGACCATGGAACATTCCCTGGGTTCTACAGCAAATGGTTGTGGTCCTTGATCTAGAACAGAGGTCTGCAAATCTTTTTATAAGGGGCCAAATAGAAAATGTATTTGGTCGTGCAGGCTCCATGGTCACCTTGGCAACTATTCAGCCCTGCCACTATAGCTAGGAAGCAGCCATGGGCAATACATCAGCAAATGGATGTGGCTTTATTCTAATCAGACTTCATTTATGGACCCTGAAATTGAATTTTGTGTGACTTCTCTGTGTCATGAAATATTTTGTTTTTGATTTTTTCCTCCAACCATTTCAAACTGTAAAAATCACTTTTAGCTTAAGGCCATATAAAAGCAGACAGCAGGCTGGATTTGGCCTGCGGGTCATGCTATGGGAACCCACTGGCTTAGACTAGAACCCAGCACTCTTTCCTTGGCATTCTTCCACCTGTCAGCAGTTTATGAATCCTTCCAGAACACTAGGGGGCAGCTAAGTAATGTCTTCCCGACTGTTCTCTAAGATCTTACTCTCTGAAACACATCAGGATTGTTTTTAATTACCTGTTGATTGTATTTATTATCTCATCATAGAGACAGGCAGGGGCCAAGGAACCAAGCCTTCCTAATATTTCATGGGCCACAGTCAGCTGGAAGCCACACCACTGTGATACGTAGCAGAACATCCCTGCCCAGCACGGTGCCTGGCACCGAGCAGGAACTCAATATAACACAAGTGATGGACATCATCCTTCAAGTGTACCAGGCATATTGCCTCATTAGTGTAGATGTGCCATGTTTGAATATCTATTTTTATCCACAACTAGGGCATAAAGGGAATATCTTGGGAGATAAAAAGAGATTAGATTTTAAATATTGACTAAAAGCACATTTCTGAATCCTTTAGGTGTTTACATATGGTGGAAAAAGTCTTTGCAGGGCATTGTTTTGCATCGAGTCAAGTTTATATTCAGTCAGCTTTCTCAAGCTCATTTATGCCTTGCTTCTCCCTAGCATCTGGAAAATGTCTGGCAGGGTCTTGAGAAGGGAATTACGGGTGGGTCCAATATGTAGAAAGGCACACTTATAACAGGACTATTTGGATGTGTGGGAAGTGGGATCATTAAGTTCTGGCGGAAAGAAACCTATGGTAGAGCTCTTTGATAAACTGAGTTCCATAAATATAACTGAGCTGTTGTTTGACCCACATGTAAGTGTTTATTGCTCACAGAGGCAGCAGGGTGTAGGGCAGGGAAAGAGTGCTTGTTTAGGCTGGTTGTGTGACCTGGAGTAGGTCATGGAACCTCTCTGGGCTTCTCAAGATGCAGAATTAAACTTACATGATTTGATTTTTCTCTTCAACTTGGAGGAAATTTTTTTCCCTTCAATTGAAAGAAGTTGTTTTTAAATGTAAGAAATAAAAAGTATTGGTTTCAGGAGACAGCTATCCAGATAATTTCTGGTGTCTTGCTTTAGCACTGAGCTCTTTTCTCAGTGCACACTCCTACAGAGGTGCTGGCTGTCAGACCTTCACAAGAAGTACTCATGGTCAAGCTGACAATGTCCTTCATCCAGGGCACCTAGGAAGTTTCTCAATAACCAGCCGAGGGCTTGCCTTTTTCTTATTGCATGCTCTGGGGAGTTAAAACCAGTATACCAACTTTCCAGAAGTGTTTTCAGCAGCTAGAAAAACAGCCTTGCTTTGGTCTATAACTTGAGACATGAATATGCATTTCAGCCTTTTATTTTTATTTTGTTTAATTTTTTTGAGATGGAGTTTTGCTCTGTCGCCCAGGCTGCAGTACAATGGCATGATCTCAGCTCACTGCAACCCCTGCCTCTGGGGTTCCAGCTCCCAAGTAGCTGGGATTACAGGTACTTGCTACCACGTCCAGCTAATTTTTGTATTTTTAATAGAGACGGGTTTCACCATGTTGGCCAGACTGGTCTTGAACTCCCAACCTCAGGTGATCTGCCTGCCTTGGCCTCCCAAAGTGTTGGGATTACAGGCATGAGCCACTGCACCTGGCCCATTTCAGCCTTCTAAAAGAAGGAAAACTGAAGCTAAAAAGAAAACTCCTGGGCACCAGATGACACCCCTTGATGACTTTGATACAAAATTTTAAAAAATTTATCTAAATTGAAGTCCTTCAGTGGAAGCCAGTTTCTTCATTGTTGATAAAGACCATATAGGCAAAATCCCAAGCAGTCTTTATTTTCATGTGGGTATTTTTGGGAACAGCTTGCATGTTCTGATTTTTCTTTTGTGTATGTTAAGATCTAAGAAATGCTTGGCTCTGAAAAGGGACTTGGATTGAGAAGGGTTCACTGGGAGCAAGACTGGCTCTCAGAGCTGAAGCTTGTCTCTTTTGCCCCACCTTCTGACTTCGAGATTTGGAATCTCCAGTGGACTGTGTTCAACTCCAGCCTTTCCCTCCAGGCCTCAACTGTCATTCCAAGTGATACTTCTGATTTGAGCAAATGTGAATCTGATGAACACCTACTCCCAAGAAATTAAAGGGTTTTAAATTTTTTAAAGGAAAATTGTCCCTCTTAAGTGGAGAAGACAGCCTTTACTAGAGCCATTCTCTGGAACAGCAGACTGAGGCCTGAAGGGAGGGTTGGTGAAGCAGATGGCTAAGCAGATGATGGTTGCTGGGGTCACGGAAGAGTGAGGTTTCCTGATGGGAGCCCTGGACCTGTCCGCCCTCCTGTCACCTTGATGGGCACCTTCTCCCCTGCTGCATGCACCTCTGTTCCAACCCAGAGGGAAACAAGCCCAGATGGGGCTCTGTCTCAGGTGCTGACCCAGGCCAGGCACAGGCCACCACACCAGGCAGCCAGTGTCTTCTTCATCTATGGGGTTTTCAGTAAGTTTAGTGGTATAGTTGCTCTGGATGAATTACCCTCTGCCTTCCTGTTGAAATTAGTTTATCCAACTTAATTAGATCAACAATTGCAGCCACGGCCCAGGCTCGTTCATTACTCTAATTGCCAATGTAAGATGTGCAGACTGATGTGAGTTCTGTTAAGCACATCAGTTTTCATGTGGCCAAACAGGTGTTTCATAAGGGATTTAATGCCCTCTCCCTAGACTTCAGCAACAGATGTTAGGTAATTTTTTTTAATGTTCACTTTCCCTATTTGGCTTCTGCATGAGGCAAACATTGTGAAGTGCACGAGCCTCATTCTATAAAGCTAAAACCTGGAGCCAGATCATGTGCAAAAAAGCACAGGCTTAACACCCTGAGGGCTTGCACCTGCAAGGCAAGAGAGATGGCTCTATCCAGACTGTTCGCAATTCCTATTGGCTGGAAATTCTGGGTGTTATGGCAGGGTCATACCTTGGGTCATCCATTCTGTCCCCTGACTGGTCCTTAACACCTCCTTCCTGGGAAAGGTGTTTGCTGAATTTAACACTGACCTGTGCTGGTGGAAAGTTCCATCCAGCTGTGATCCTTAAAGCACCTGTTTGTTCTAGCTTCTCTTGGCAGGATCTGCCAGGAAGACTGTGTCTGAGTGTGCAGCATGAGCTTGTCCAGGAGTAGGGGAATGGGGTTCCTCAGGCCACACCCTTTCACCTCGAAACCCAGTCAGCTCACAGCTGGAGCCAGTCTCCCAGGGGGGTCATCTAGATCAAAGCTAAGTGTGGAGAATAAGGGCTGCTTCTCCCTTCTGTGGGTTCAGCTAAGAAAAAGCCCATTCGGGCCGGGCGCAGTGGCTCAAGCTTGTAATCCCAGCACTTTGGGAGGCCGAGACGGGCGGATCATGAGGTCAGGAGATTGAGACCATCCTGGCTAACAGGGTGAAACCCCGTCTCTACTAAAAAATACAAAAAACTAGCCGGGCGAGGTGGCGGGCGCCTGTAGCCCCAGCTACTCCAGAGGCTGAGGCAGGAGAATGGCGTAAACCCGGGAGGCGGAGCTTGCAGTGAGCTGAGATCCAGCCACTGCACTCCAGCCTGGGCGACAGAGTGAGACTCCGTCTCAAAAAAAAGAAAAAGCCTATTCTGCAAAGAGCCCCTGACTATATGTCAGCTAGTTGACCTTGAAAAAATTCTTCTTTGCATTCGTTTTGCTGCATTCATTTTGTTTGCACTCACAGGTTGCAGATAATCCAGATGTAAAGTGGGTTTGGTTTCCTTGGGTAGGTTGGCCTCCAGTAGAAGGTTATTTTAGGAGTTTTTAAAAAGAGCTTATAGAGTCAAATGGTGCAAGTTTGTCTCTATAATTAAGACTTTTCCACCATCACAAATTTTAAACACAAAGTCTAAAATCTTGGGCAGTATAGAAAATAGGTTCTAGCTAAGCACTAGTTTTGTCCTCTACCAAGACCTTTCCTGAAAATCACGTATCAAGACAGTTTCCTGTAAGAAAAAGCCAAATCCCAGCTGATTTTCCTTCCTGGGGCCAAAATCTGCTATTATTCGGCTTGAAAGCCTTGATAACTCTGTGTGTGTGTGTGTGTGTGTGTGTGTGTGTGTGTGTGTGTGTGTGTATGTGTATATGTGTGTGTGTATTGGGAATATGTGATGAATGTGTGTTGGCTGCTGTTGTCTCTGATTTGGTTACTGTTGTTTCTGATTTAAATCTAAGTAAAGTTTAATTAAATGTATAGAATGCTATCTCTAATGTGACCCTCTCTCCTTACTGAATTCTCTTACTAACCCACTCCTATGAGACCATCTTATTTCTTGCAGATGAATGATGCTATGGGATTTGAATTGCCCTGGGTGTATTTTGTCAGTCTCGTCATCTTTGGGTCATTTTTCGTACTAAATCTTGTACTTGGTGTATTGAGCGGGTAAGCTACACCTCTTTCATCTTGAAAGCAGAGTCCTGAGGACAGTTGCCAAGACCACACAGGCTTTGCTGGATGAGGGCCGCCAAGAGGGGTTGCCAGACATTTTATGTGTCCTCTGAGATGCTTTCTTTTCTGCTGAGGCTTCCCAAATCAAGCTGTTTCCTGGAACCTCACCAGCCTTCATGAAGGAGAACTATAGAATGATTATTGACCAGAAATTAATCAGCATTGTTGCTTGAGATTTAAACAATTTCCATTGCTTGCCCTTTTTTGTCTGTTCTAAAATGAGATACATTTATAATTGCTTTATTTGTCTGGATCCAAATATAATGCAGATTAATTGTTATAAAATGGTTGCAAAATGAGCTGGATTGGGCGGGCTTTTGGTAGGCCCCATTTGTAGATTTCAGCAGCTGAGCTTGTCCTTATTTGCAGAAAAAAAAAAAAGAAAAAAAAAAAAGGAAGGACCTAGGCCCAGTCCCTGTCCTAGGAGCACTAACCTTCAGCAAAGCACTGAGAGGTCTGGCAGCTGCAACTGGGGCTCTGCTCTTTAGCAAATGGGTAACTGATAACTGATCTCCTTACATTTTACAGGTAAATGATGCGATAGGATGGGAATGGCCATGGGTGTATTTTGTTAGTCTCATCATCCTTGGCTCATTTTTCGTCCTTAACCTGGTTCTTGGTGTCCTTAGTGGGTAAGCAGTTGGATCCGTGTTCCACCTTCTCCTGCTGCCACGTGTGAGGCAACTCTGCGTGTCTCCCAGCTGCTCCCTGACAGCTTCTCTGCATGTGTTTGGACTCTGATGGCCCCTCAGTGTGTTGCTTTTGGATTGAACTGTGATTCTTTCTCCCTGTTTCTGTCTGTGAGATTCTGTGTTTCCGATGCTTGCCAAACACTGTTAATTTAATGAAAACGTTCCCCTGAAGCCAGTCGTGTTAGTATGTGAATGTGTAGAGGCGGATTACAAGTGAGTTAAAGGAATTCCAGCCTTGGTCTCCCCCAGGAAAGAGGCTTTCGTCCCTTGTAATTTTGTGTCTATTAGTACATAACCTGGCCCCTTTAGGTCACCACAGTGCATTATAAATACTTCCAGGGGAGTTTTAGATTTTACTGTGAAGGAGAAATAAGCCTCAAGCACATAAATACTGTACAGTTTCAAAATCTTCCTCAGATTGGGATTCTTTATTAGCTTGGTTTTCTAGTGCTGTCACTGTGAGAACTGTCCCTGTGGTTCAGTTTTATCCATAACCTATAGAATCCTCTCAATGCAGAGTGATGATCGACTTTTGTGCACACGTTTCCCATGGCCTTACAGAGACCGCATCATTCAGTCACCGTTTTTGAAGTTTACTTGTTTATCACTTCTTCTCTATGGATTGACTCTCCACAAAGAGGCTGTAGCAGAGACTGGCCTAGAAAGGGGACTCCTTATGTTGCAGGCTGTGCCTTGCCTGTAGCTGGAGATGCCATCCCAGAACCCTTGTGGTCAGCCCTGCATCCACACCGCCTCTCAGACACCCCCAGAAGGTGGGGTGCTACAGAGAAGGGAGCCGGGGGCTGTCTGGCTCTCTCACAGTCAGCTCCTTTATATAGCCATTGCCAGGATGTGGGGGGCAGGCAGGATACCAGGAGGCCCAAGAGGGGCCCATGTCTCCCAGAGGAGCCTCTGTCACTGCGCTGCGCCCAGGCACCCTCAGGAAGCAGTGGTGATGGATTTGATTCCAGGCGAGTTTATCTCTTCCTCACTCACTTTATCTTGCTCTTTCCGAGGCTGTATCTCAGGGAAGTGATGTCTTCATGTATGCTGAGTTAGTGAAAAGGCTTTAATCGCATTTTTGGAAACACTGCCTTTTCCAGAGCAGAAAGCCGAGTGCATTTATCCATCTTGGCTTCCTTTCTGCATCTTCCCTGCCCTGGATTGAATGTAGTCAGTTCCACACCAGGGATGCACACTGTCACAGGAAGTCCCTATGTAGAGATGGCCCCAGGGGCCACTGCCCCCCAGAGAGAGAGGTGGTGGCTGGGGCCACATAACCCTCCCCTGCCTGAGCCACCTCCTGTAGATGAGTGGCTCCTCAAGCCTCAGGCCCTTTCACCTCAACGTGAGAAGTGTCTTTCTCCTAGTAAACCTCAGCGGCCTTAGGCTAGGGTTGGGCATGTGAGGATGGTGTCTATTCCTGGAGAAATAACATCGTGTTTGATTTTGCCACAGGAGCTTCCTGTACAAGGTCAGCAGCAATCCTGGTGTGAATTCCTTGGCGCCTCATGTCTCCTAAACCCAGCTAAACTGACGGAGGCCATGGAAACCACTAATTTTAACAGTGCCAGTGACATGCCTTATCTTTTAGCTTCCCCAGGCAGGAACCATTGCCCCAGCAGGCATGATGAAGCAGAGGCAGGAGCCAGATCGTGAGGTGCTTAAAAAAAGAAAAGAGAAAAAGATGGGAGGCGGGGCTTCCCACTATCACAAATGGGGGTTAAACCTGCAACTCCGTGGGAGGTACCCAAAGCTGGAGGATAAAAAAGGTACACTCCTTCATGGAACAACCAGCTTAGTGAAATATATTTTGGGGGAAAATAATTTAAAAAAAAAAATTTTTTCATCAAAACAAAACTTAGATCCCTTATGAAGGAGACTGGAAATGACACATGAAATTATAAAAGAAAAACCCGAGACTTCCCAGCAATTCTGTCAGTGTGTGTTGTGCTCAGACCCCTAGGGGCTGCCCACGACCTCCTGTCTACTCCCCCAGAAGGCCTCTGCTAGGGCTGGTTTGGGTAAAGACAGAGCCATGTCTGCAAAGCACAGCCTCGCAGCTGTGTTCCTGATGTGGCCAGTATTTGCTGAGATCCTGTAGAGTGCCCGGCTCTGGTCCAGAGGCCAGGGGTGCCAAGATATCTCAGACACAGACAGCAGCCTTGTGCTTAGGCATTCATTATCTCATGGGGTAGCCTATTTTGAAGCAGTGCAGGAGGGCACATGTTCAATAGAGGTGCAGACCCAGAGGCTCTGTGAGCTGCCCTGGAGAGATGAGGAGGCATCTCTCCTGGAGACTGACGAGGGGCTGGCATGCCTCCACCTCCACCCACCCAGCCACTGCCTTCCCTCTCTGCCTGCTACTCCCCTCTTACTTTCCCATTGATATTTTTGTTGTTGTTAAAGCAAATTATTATTTTTTTTTAAATTTTAGCCTCAAGAGTCTTCATAATTTTTTAAGGGAGCACTAGAGAGGTACTACCAAACCAGAAGGATATAAATGTTGAGAGGAAGACAATTTATGTTGCGTAGACCTCGGGGGACTGTCAGACCAACACAAATGTAATCCCCTAAGCACTGAATTAAAACGCCCTCATTTTAAAAAGGCTGGTCGAGACCATGTGATTGCCTTCTCATGAGGAAATGTTCGATGGTGCTGTGTGTCTTCAAGTCTGTCAGCCATGTGGAAATACCTGTATCTGTTTCTGCTCCTTGGCTCCTTCATGTGTGTGGCCATGCCATCCTATTGTATTCTTGAACAGACGTTAATTTGCACATTGGATTTGGTGTTTATTTGCAAAGTGTTGATGATTTGGGAAAATCTTTGGTTTTATAACATAGTCTTTTTTCCCTCAAGGTAAGTATGAAGTTTATGAACTGTAAACCCTATGCAGCCATGCATGAACATAGATGAATACTTCCATCTCTCGTCACAGTATTCTGTGGGAGGGGCTGAGAATGTCTATGACTAATGTTACAATTTAACCTTAAGTTGTCATTGAGGATATGCTCCCATTATGACCAAGAATCGGAAAGAATGTCTTCTTTAAGTCTGCAATTCAGACATATTACACGTGGCCTTCTAGAAGCTTGGTAATTTTTCACTTTTCAAATTGTTCATTGAACCCCCTTTTGAGGTTTTCATCTTTAGAATCATGCTAGATTCCCAAGGTCATGGGCGGTAGGCTGGTTGACTCTGCCTCCTTCTCCATTTTAGGACCCACCTGCCACCAGCCATCCACCTATGGTGGGGGTGTCTGAGCTTGCAAGATGGGGGATGCCCTAGGCTCCCAAGATGTGGCTCCAACCCCCAGGAAGGGGGCTGGAAGACTTAGATTCTGTCCTGCCGGAGTCCCACGTTCACTCTGGGACTTCACTGAGTTACCCTGAGCCTCAGTCTCTTTGTCCTTCAGGATATCAGAGATATCCTGTCTTGCCATCTCCCACACGGGGTAGTTTTCAATCAGCTAATGACTGTAGAAGTCCTTCTAAAAATACATAAAGGGGTTTTCTCATTTAACATATTCTTATCTTAAATCCATGGATGTCCCCCACTCGCCTCACTGGGTTAGGTGGGAACAGTGCAGGGTACTCTTTGGAAATTCTGGAGTGTAGCATTTTCTGGATATCCCAGCAGGTGGCCACACTTTACACACACATCAGTGTTGTACTCAGTGTCACCCAAGAAGGGGTGGCTCTGGAGGATGTGGAAGCACTGTGTCAGCTGCAAAGTATTATGCAGGCCTAAATCATTGTTATTAAAGTTATATTTGACATGGTTTTTTTTTTTTGCACAAATTGAGGGGAATGGCATTTCTATTACGTAGTGGTTAAGCACACCAGCTTTAGAATCAGACAACCAAGTCTTGAATGTTTGTTCTTCCTTTTCCAGTTGTGAGATTTGGGGCAAGTTACTTACCTCTTTGCGCCTTACTTTCCTCATCTGTGAAATGGAGCTCATCACAGTACCAGCTTTGTGAAGTTCAGTGAGGACTCAGTGGGCTGAAGAATGTAGAAGGCTTGGCCCGTTGAAATTATGGTAGTTCAGGAAGGGTGCATCTCTTCCTGGATTTGATGCAAGAAAAGAATCGAATCAATTCAGTCCTTTCAAACTAATTAATAATAGCTGGCCAAGATAGGTCTGTGTTAGTGAAAAGCCCAAGTTATATTTTAAAAATGTTTTATTATATATATAATGACATAAGGCACTGCTGACTAAAGGATATTACTGCATAAACC